GGTCTTCAACACTTCTCCTTTGTCAAATTTCACCTCACCATCAACCACGGCACTGCCTGCCAGCCTATCAGCCTCCACATTGCCTTTCACACAATAAATACTGTAGTTTGACCCACAAAGCAATGCAACTGTGTGTGTTTGTGTGTGTGTGTGTGTGTGTGTGTGAGGGTGAAAGTAACGATCTACCACCAGTTCTCACTCTTCTGTCATTTTTTTCAGTGATGGATATTTGGCATCTTTTCTGAAAGAAATTTGTGTTGTTGAAGGATTGGTTGACAAAACTAGCTGTATTTGAAGGTTTGATTGTCTTCTGTTTACTCAAAACCAGAAAGTGTAATCGGATAAATTTAACTGTTAAACTTCAGACATCGGAAACACTCTATACAGCGACAAAGCACAGCTGATTAAAACCTGTCAATTCTTTGCCATATTATCGCATCAACAGACCGAAGGGCTAGAACCCAAATGGCCGCTGGATCGGAAAAGAAAGAAAGAAAAAAGAACTGTTCAACTCTTTTTTGGGGGGTTATTTTGAGGGAGGAGGGGTGTGGAAGGGGGTGCTTGCTCATTTAATTTTGTTTTTTGCTGATCATTTATCTCTTAAGTTTTTGTTTTTTTCCAAAGTGGCGTCGGTGGTCTAGTGTTTATGTTACCGGACTCTTAATCATGACATTGCGGGTTCGGGTGTTTCGAACCTCAGCTCGGTCCGACGTTGTGTCCTTGGGAAAGGCACTTTACACGAATTAATCCACTTGGCTTGGTCCTTTTGGAGACAGACGTTAGACTCGGAGATCCCACCTCTTGAATAATCTAATAGTGTTGATAGGGGCGTTAAACCTATACCATTTCCCCATTTTTTTTCAGGCCACCAGTGGGAATGAGTAATGTGATCAAAGCCAAAGTGTTGGGGATTCTTCACAAAGTTATCTACAAAAGTGAAAGTGGTATGTTCCTGATGTGTTTGTCGTTGATGATGATGATGATGATGATGATGATGATGATGATGATGATGATGATTTTGATGATGGTGATGATGATGATGATGATGATGATGATGATGATGATGATGATGATGATGATGATGATGATGATGATGATGATGATGATGT